AGATTGCCGCACTTCTCCTTTCTGACCTCGAACCGGCCGGCCCATTCAAGTAGTATGGCAACCTTTGTTACCCATATCGACCCGGCTGAAAACGAATTGCTTGCGCGTGTTCTTGAGCCACTGCCCTTCTCTCAGAAGGCTAGCTACCGCCATTTTGAATAAGTTGGCCATATTCCGTAGAACGCGCATTTTTAGTCCACCTTTATACGTTCGTTTTGATGCAACGACTCTTGTGATGTGAACAAATTTTTAGATTGCGCAACGCACGTGATTTAAGATGTCCACAAGCTTGGGAAGTAAGTCCCAGTAAGTCATGAAACGGGATTGGCATAGTTAAAGCACACTAAGAACCCAAGCAGCTGAATCAGCTCAGAAGACTACGTTGAACACTTCTCCCTCATAGAAAATTGTAGTCGCGATCTTTACCATTTAGTTTTTGGCGCTATCACATGGTACGGGGGCATAATGGTGGCGGCATCTCGAACCGCGTAAAAATTCCTTTTTTGTTGAAAACGTGGCTAAGTTTCAGGAGGGAGGGGGAGGCAGACTCCAAGGCGCGAGAGAATTTTAGTCTTGCAAGTTCTTTTCTTCCCTAGGCTTAATAGTGGAGGATTCCCCCGTATCTTGCAATGGCGCCTAGATCCTGGTACAGCTCTTGAAATCTCCGTAGTTTCCCCAGAAGCACACATCAGCCTTCCCAACTTTGTATAGCCCATATGTCCCACGTTAACTATCCTTAGGTATTTCCCTCACCTTTTTCATGCATCCATGGAATCCGGAAAGCATGGCGAAGGTGATGCGGTAAGGTTGCCATCGTATCCGCCAATGTACAACATCCCCGGCTCGGTAAGAGGACCACGTATCGATATCAACTGCGATTCCACCCACGATTGGCGATCGACCTGAATGGAGAGCATTTTTCAGGAACGCAGAAAGACACCATTCAGGTGACAACGGACCTTCATGAGGATTCCTTTGCCGGTTCTCCAGATCTCGGCGCGATGCCATTGATGAAGAGTGACCGGAGACTCTGATCTGAAAATAACAATGCAGTCAATACAGGACGCCAAATTGGATAGGAAACCCGCGATGATCGCGAGCAAAAGCGGACTTCTTTTCCCAGAAACACAATATTAATTGCAACATGTTGAAAGTGAACCCTTGAAAACTTCCACGAAAAGGAAGATCATAAAAGAGATTTGATTATTTGAAGCTCTTAAAAAGTCCCCTTTTAATGGGTACAATCTCACGGACTGGGTGAGAGTGAAAAACACTTCGTCATCGCCAGCTACCTAATTTATGATCTCTAATGAGTAGTGCAAGAATGATGTTCTTCTTCCCTTGTGACAAGCTACCCTTCAAAAAACGAATTATTCCCCGAATAAAAAACCATCAATTTTGATAGGATTTTGTTTTACAATTGCGCCATGCATATGACTTGATTGCGCATCGCGGGAGAATTTTCTTGTTTGGGCTATATATGCGCAATATGTAACAGCTGTGCCCCTAAAAGGAATTATAATTACATACTACATATAAACGGCCTATATCGTCTTGCTTATTTATAGCTACTAATCCGTAAACAACGTGCTAATCACTCGTGTCTTGTTTCCATCAGGGACTTCCTAATCCCAATATAGGGGTAATGATCCAAATTGGATTTCTCCCATCAGCGTTCGTTGTTACTTGCTGCGCCTTCAGAAGCACTCGGTTTCGATAAAAGAGTGGGGCATGTCTTCTCTTACCCTTCATGTTCCTTACCCACTGGTGATTAACGGAGTTCTGCGTATTCTTTTTTGAAACGCCGGTACTCACGAATAAATGGCTCCGAGTAGATGTTCTAATTTTGCTTTTCGAAAATTTCGGAAGTTTCATGCACTGCCCAGGCCGTATTTAGTACTAAAAATTGATTCTTTCAGAGGGAGGACCGTGTTGATTTCTGTACTTAGGAGCTATCTCGCAACAGAAAGGTTTAATCCTTTCGAAGAAATTCAGTGGAAATGCCAATACTATGGTCCTGCCATCATCGATCGCAACTTACAATGGAGGCGGCTCCGGCCGAAGTTCCCGTAACCGCTCAATGAATGAGTCAGTGCTTTCTTTCGTGGTTGTGACCATGTAATCCCGAAATTTGACATCGCTCGAGACCGGGATTGATCTTTACTTCGATGGAAAGAGCCCAGAACAGCGCTGTTTGCCTCGCTCGTTGCCCTCGGACTTGACATTAGTTGGCATACACCTCGATAAAAGCATTTATTCGTGAGATCGGCGACAACATAAGAGAAAGGCGGGACTCCGTTATCAATTGGGTAAAGAATAGAAGGATAAGAGGAAGATATACGCTCCCCCAGTCTTATATCTACGACTGCTTTTGAGTGACAAGGCGCAGCAAGTAACAACGAACGTTGATGGGAAAATCCAATTTGGATCATTACCCATATATTGGGATTAGGAAGTCCCTGATGGAAACAAGACACGAGTGATTAGCACGTTGTTTACGGATTAGTAGCTATAAATAAGCAGGACGATTCCCGCTTTGTGTGACGATGATGAGAGCTTCCTCATAGAAACAGAATCACAACAAATTCGGTTATGCTAGTAGGAAATATGGAGAGCAAGAGAAGATGAAAGAACAGAAAAAAGATGATAGGCTACCGAACTTTTGCTGATTTTCCTAGAAAGGCTTTGGATAACCTTAATGGTTGGAGCAAATTCATCTGAGTTGTTGCTTTTGTCACACTTCACTGTTTTAAGCTGTTCGCGGTAAGCCGCGTATTTCACTTCCTTTTACAATCGACTGGGTGCCCCTATCGCCTTGAAGCTTCTATGCTTCAAATGATGAGCCTTGAAATTCGAGATTAAGCGTACTACATCTGAACCATGGACGACTATTAATACAACTCAATCTAACGAATGGCTAATTGAGCTTGTCTGGAGTGTGCAACGGTAGTCAAAATGCAGTACGAGCTTCCAGTCGTCATGCAACCTACGCGCATTGCAGTGGTGCGTTGTCGCTGTGATGAGGGAAGGCTCTTTTATGGGGCACTTGTAATACTTGTTCTGATTAGCTTTGCATCATGGACTTAAAGGCACATTCACCGATAACAAAAAGTGACTCTCGAGATTTAAGGTGAAAAGTGGATGACAAATTGAAAACGAGGAAAACAAACCACCAAAAACGCTGAATTTAGAGGCTTTGCTTTTGATGAGGTGGATTGTTTTACAAAGGAGAAATAGTGCTCGCTGAGGAGAGAGAATAAGCGCAATAGCATACCAGACGAGAGGG